GTGGTACTGCGGCTGCCGGCCTCGCTGACGACGTGCCTGCCGTCCTCGTCAAGCCGCGGGTCCTGCCCGTCGCGCTCGACCACGAGCGTCGGCGCCGACGCGACGTCGCGCTTCTCCCACCCCATGCGCTTCTGCTGGTGGTTCGCGTGCAGCCGGACGAGGCCCGAGGCGACGTGGTACGTCGCCGGGTAGGGCATGTAGTCGACAAACTCGGCGACAAAGTCGGGGATGCGCCGCGTCAGGTCCTCGTCCGCGTCCATCGTGTCGCCGACGCCGAGGCGCGCCTCGCGCCTGCTGAAGCGCAGCAGCCAGCGATCGCACCACCGCTGGAGCGCGTACCACGCGCGGTGCTGCTTCGCCTTGGCGCGCACGACGCGGTCCGAGGCGCTGCGCGGCGGGGACGGGTAGAGCGCCTCGAAGAGGGCGTCCTGCGTCTCGGCCATGAGCGTGCGGTAGTGCGCGCTGCCGGACCGGATGGCGGTCCAGGCCTCGTCGAAGGCGCCGGACTGGATGAGCGCGTTGACGCGCTTGTCGAGGTCCTCGAACGAGGGCTCGATGCCGTGCGCCGTCATGGCGTGGTAGACGTCCAGGACATCCTCAGCTCGGACGGCCCTGTTCTTGACGGCCATGTTGGATTCGTACAGGCCCCATTCGACTTGTGCGCGGTGCGTCGAGATGATGTATGTGTGGTTGAGCAGGTCGGACCAGGTCGCTGCGGCTATGTCGAGCCTGTACTGCTGCGCGAAGAACTCGACGAGCTTCTTCGCGAGCAAGACGTAGCCGGCCGCCCCCAGCGAATGGACAAGGGCGTTCAGCAGCCGCGGTGTTGGTGTCAAGGGGTGTCCGTGGGGGAATTTGCGACCGCCCGTGATGAGGACGTTTCGGCTGTCGGCTGTGATGCCGCGCCTCGTCTTTCCATCGACTATGGATATGTCATAAAAGCGCGCCAAGATCGTTTCAATCATGCGCAGATTACCTGCGTACCCGCATGCCACGAGGTACGAACACTGCAGGCTCTCGGTGATGGTGACGCCCTGGTTGAGCATCTTGAACCAGATTCGATTCAGCGGTCCTGGCAGGCTGAGCACCCAGTGCAGGTCCCGTTCTGGCTGGTGTGGCGATTTGCCGTAGGCGTGGTATTTCGAGCGTGCCTCGTACAGTCGGAGCTTCTCCAGGCGTCCTCGCAGGGCCATGTCAGGCCGGTTGACCTTTCTCAGGTTTCGGGGCCTCAATCGCACCCTCGCGAGGTCGTATTGGCGGTAGAGAGGCTCCACGAGATAGCGCGCCTTCACGAGCTCGTCGTAGCCCAGGCCCTCGCGGAGGTCCCAGACTTCGTTGAGATCCATGAGCTTCCAAACGCGCTTTGCAGCCGTGACATCTGATGTCGCTCCGGCGCACCGCAGCAGAACAACGTAGTCGGCGAGCATCAGCTGATGGCCTGCCTGGTGCAGCAGCTCGACAAAGGCGACCATGGTCGTGAAGAGGTCCTTGTAGATTTTTCGGACGCCGAATTCGTCAAAAGCCAACGCCACGGGGCTGAATTCTTGCAGGTGATCAGGTATCACCAGGCTGTGTGTGCAATCGAGCCGATGGCCCGCCTCGAGAGGGTCCAAGCAGCGCAAAATCTCCGAGACGGTCGTCCGCGGAATGCCCCGCATCGCAGCTATGGCTTCGTCGGCCGAAGGCGAATTGACGAGCGCACGCACAACGCTGAGCGTCTCGACCACATCGCGTGTTCGGAGAGTCTCGACGAGGAGAGACGAGAGGTTCCCGGGCGCCATTGGGTCGTCATTCTTGATCGCCACCTCTTCCGACCGGTCCCACAGCGTGGTTGTCGCCGCAAACTGCCGCTGGTCGCTGCGAGCACGCGACGGCTGGCGATCGAGGTATCGAATCTTCGGCTCGGTCACGGACTGCACATGCTCGGTATTTGGCTTCAAGAAGCCCAATCGGGCATCTTCACAGGAGGAGGCACATCGAATGCTGCTGGCCTCTCCACTGACTCGAGGCGGCCCCAGCCATCTTGTGCGGGGCGAGCGCGTGTGAATCTCCGCAAACGTGTCAACAAGACACGCGAGGACGTCCCCAGCGGCACAGGTCGGAGGCACTGCCGCATGCCAATGGCCTCCGTCTTGAACAGTGTTGGTATCATGGATGCGATCTCGAGGGCATGGCGATGAGGGGTGAGGGGCCGGCAGAACAGAGAGAGAGGGAGAGACAGAAGGGGGAAAGGTGTCGGGAGCAGCGGGAGGCCCACAAGACGCAGAGGGTGGATGCGTGGAGGCGGAGAGAAGAGGAGATGAGGGTGGAGAGGTGGAGGTGATTCCCCAGATTCTAGGGTATTTACAGGGACCAGGCTTTGGCGTTGAGGGTCGAAGCTCAAAGCTCTGGCCGAGACATTTCTGTCCACCGGAATATTGATGCTGCGGGAGCCGACGAAATTCCGTTGGAAGAAACTGACTTGACTGGAGGTGGTCCATGCACCCCGATGCCCCACCACAACGTGCATTCACGCGCGTTTGGCATTTGATGCTCGTCACGACCCCCTCGTCATCTCATCACCCCCCCCCCAAGCAACAGACTCATCATGGCCGACGCAGCAGAAGAGAACACTCATGTGTCTGAGCCCCTCGACCTGGTGAAGCTCCTTCTTGACGAGGTCGTCTTCGTCAAGCTGCGAGGTGACCGCGAGCTGAAGGGCAGGCTCCATGTGAGTCAAAATCGCCGCTCATGAGAAGTGATGACTGACGTCAACCAGGCCTACGACAGCCATTGCAACATCGTGCTCGGAGACGTCGAGGAGACGATCTATGTGGTAGACGAAGATGACGACGACGAGGAAGCCAAGGTGCGTTGTGGGCAACGCATGCCGCAATGAGTGGCTCTCGACTGACTGTACCTAGACCATCAGCCGCAAGTCTGAGATGCTTTTTGTTCGAGGTATGATCAGGTGGAACCAAGGGGTAGCGACATTGACTAACATCTCCCCAAGCCGATAGCGTTGTC